AGAGGCCCTGTCTGTCCGGTCTTGGTTGGGGAAGCCTGCTGATGATTAGCTCTGGCAGGCACAATCCTGCTTTTCAAGACTGCCACCTGGAGCTCATGCCATGCCTGCTGCTCCTGAACCTTATAAAAACAAGAGGTAGGGCTGGAAAGATGGTTCGGTGCTTAAGAGCTCTGGCTGCTCTTGCAGAAGACCTGGGCTCAAATCCCAGCACCCACATGGCAGCTAACAATCTGTCTATAACTCCAGTTTCAGGGGATCTGATGGCTTCTTCTGACCTCCCCAGGTATTGCATGACACAGGTGTACTTACAAACATCCAGGCATAATACTCATACACATTAAAAAACAACAACAACAACAACAAAAAAGGAGGTAAAAACTTCCCCATGTGTAAGCCACCATCCTCCTTCCCAGACATGGAGAACCCATCACACCAGCTCCCTGGATCTGCGGCAACTTGGACCTCTCAGGTCTGAGTTCCAGACAGTTGAAGCCGACTTGGAAAATGAAGCTCATCTGCCATTCCCAGCATGTCACTTGTTGGGTCTATGGACGTGTAGGTCGGAGAGACGCTGCCTCTAGCAGCCTATAACTCTGGGCAAGATGCTAAGCCTCACCCTATTCCCAGAACACCAAAGGGTGGATTCCTCCATTATAGTCTGGGTGAGGGTCCCTGAGCATATAGAACGTTCCTGACAAGGTTTGAGGGATGCTCAAAAATAGAAGTTCAGATTACACCTCCGAGGAACTCCTCTCCTAATCAGCCCTTCAGTCACTTCTCAGTGAGGGAGCTTTTGTCTGAGGGAAAAACTACATTTCTTTTTCCTCGTTCTTCACTGCACAGCCTCAGTACTGTTTCTAGCCTTTTGACATTTTCTTCATCATCTTCAACACAAGCTCACACCTTTAGGTGAAATTTTCGCTTTAGCAATTTCTAGAATGTTCCTTTTCTCCTGCCTATCAGATGTAATCCTGTTGCTAGTAGATTTTCTAGGAGATGTGGCAGAGGAGATACACATGGTAGCCAGAGGCCCTGGACTCTAGTCCTCACTCTACCAGGGACTTGATGCCTTCTTGGTAACTGTTTCAATTTTTCTTGTAAAATGAAAGAGTTAAGGTTGCTAGAATCAGCAAATCAGGACAAGACGCTGGCTGGGGCTGTAGGTCTGTGGTAGAGATTTTCACACCAGAAGCCCTAGCATTTAGTATCAAAATAATAATGCAGATTTCCCAGTTAGATCTATATTTCTTTTTTTAAAGAATATTTATTTATTATTTTTATTTCATGTGTATGCGTGTATTGCCTGCATCTAGGTAAGTGCATCTGTGTTGTACAATGCCTGCGGAGGTCAGAAGAGGGTGTCGGATCCCCTGGAACTGGAGTTACGGACAGTTGTTAGCTGCCATGTGGGTGCTGGGATTCAAACCTGGGTCTTCTGCAAAAGCAACCAGTGTTCTTAACAACTGAACCAGCTTGCCAACCCCTCACTTTTGATCTTAATCATTGCAGCCATATCTAACCTGTGGCCCATGGGTCACGGGCATCTCAGGGTAGCTATGAATGTGCCCACCCTCCAAAATTGTAGATAATAACGTAGTATCACAATGTTGAAAGGTTGGACAGCCCTGGTAGTGGAAGCAGACATAGCTCTGACTGGGATCAGATCTCACCTGCTGCTGCCCTGTGGCTGGTGGTGCAACTCTGACTGTGAAGGGGACTGAGAATATATTTATGTTTGCATGTGACAGGGCTAAAAAGGTGCGGAACAAAGCTGTGGTCAACACCTGCACGCTGGTGAGAGAGTCCAGGGCAGAGAACACGTTGCTGCTCAGATGTGGAAACACTGGGGTGGCAGGTAAACTGAGTCAGGAGGTAATGCTCAGTTCATACCTGGAGCAAGGAGGAGATGAGCTGGCTGATACCCAGGGGCTGGGGGCACAAGAATAGCAGGCTGAGTCAGGAGGTAATGCTCAGTTCATACCTGGAGCAAGGAGGAGGAGATGAGCTGGCTGATACCCAGGGGCTGGGGGCACAAGAATAGCAGCCAGCCAAGGGAAGGGGCACGTGAGCTTGCCAGGTGGGGGAGGGGTTCTCAGGTTTTGTTCAGGATCCTTTTGCTCAACCTTAAAAAAATCTAACTTTAGGAGGCCAAGGAGATAGCTCAGTGGTTAAGAGCGCTGGCTGCTCTTGCAGAGGACTCAGGTTCAGTTCCCAGCACCCACGTGGCAACTAACAACCATTCATAACTCCAGTTTCAGGGGATCTGATGCCCTCTTCTGACCTCTTTGGGCATCGCATAACATGGGTGCACTTACATACATACAGGCAATACACTCAGACACATAAAATAAAAATAATATTTAAAAAAAATCTTTTACTGAGATCAGCATAGTTTCACTTGTTCAATGAGAAACAATGGTCTTACCCTTTACAAATGGTCATTTAGTCTCATTCTTTTTGCTCATTTCACTGTGGGTTTTGGTTGGTTGGTTTTGGTGACATGAGGCGGGGGCTTACAATGTAGCTGAGGATGGCTTTGACCTCTGGATACTCTTGTGTCTACCTCCAGAGTGCTGGCATTACAGGTATGTGCCACTATGCCCAACTTATATGGTGTTGGGGATCAAGTCCAACTAGCAAGCACTCTACCAACTGAGCTACATCCCCAGTCCTTGTTTTTTGTTTGTTTGTTTGGTTTTTTTGAGTCAAGGTCTTACTATGTAGCCTTGGCTACCTGGAACTCACTATGTAAAGTAGACAGGGCTGGTCTCAAATTCAGAGATTTGCCTGCCTTAGCCTCCTGAGTACTGGGATTAAAGGCATGTTCCATCATGTCCAGCCTGTATTTGTTTTTTTGATTAGCTCAAGCTAACTTGTAACTCATTATGTAGTCCAGGCTGGCTTCAGATTTGTAGCAATCTTCCTGCCTCAGCCTCCCGAGTGCTGGGACTAAGGTGTGCACTACCATGCTCAGCTTAGTCTTATCGCCTGTTGCCACTTGTATTTTGAGGCCATTGTCTCTGCCAGGACCCATTTCCTCACCAGATTTGGATGGCGCCACTTGCCCCCTGTGGCTTCATGGGTTAAATGATGGGGAAGCTGGGGAAGCGTTGTTGGCAGCAGTGACTCTTCTAACTCAGATGTTCATAACATCGGTCATGTGGTGCCCAGCTCCACCCAGGCCAACTGTCAGAATCTGGGGGTTCTGACTTTACAGTGCCTGGCAGACACTGCTGTAAGCTGAGGCCTGTGTTCAGCTTGGTAACATGAAGGTGTGATCATTTTATGCCCAGCGATTGCTTACAATGTGACATACTGAAAAGAGGTGGCATAGTGGAGCGGGTGCTCAGTGATCAACATAGCAATACCAAATCTTTCAAAAGCCTGTGTTCAGTCCTCAACAACAGGTACCTGTTGTTCCCTGTCCCCTCCTGAGAGGGGCTCTCTAGTGACAGCACTCCCTGCTCCTTGCCCCATCCTCATACTGCTCAGACATGATGTGGACATGCCCACCAGGACACATCTCTCAGCCACAGTGCACTGATTAGGACTGACACCAGGCCTCTGTTGCAAGAAAGTGCTGTCTGGGTTAGAGCAGGTACATACAGCTGGCCCATGCGTGACCTTGCTGGTCACAAGGCTGTGCCACCAAGCACTGGATATGCTGGGTGTTGATCTACATGTGGCATCTAATTTCTACCATTTATTTTAATATTTTATTTATTTTTTATTTTTATGTGTATGAGTGTATTGCCTGCATGTATGTGAGTGCACCCGTGTTGTGCAATGCTGTGGAGGTCAGAAGAGGGCTTCAGATTCCCCTGGAACTGGAGTTAAGGACGGTTTGTAGCCACCATGTGGGTGCTGGAAATTGAACCCGGGTCCTCTGCAAAAGCAGTCAGTGCTCTTAACCACTGTGCCATCTCTCCAGCCCCTATTATTTTTATTTTATGTGTAAGTGTATTGCCTGCATGTATGTAAGTGCACCCATGTTGTGCAGTTCCCATGAAGGTCAGAAGAGAGTGTCGGATCCATGGGAACTGGAGTTATGGACAGTTGTTAGCCACCATGTGGGTGCTGGGAATCAAACTCGGGTCCTCTGCAAGAGCAGCCAGTGTTGCACTCTTAACTGCTGAGCCATCTTTCTAGCCCCAATTCCTCCTATTTATAAACAGAGACATGAAATGTGAAAAACAGAGTAAGATGAATCTATGATTCTTTCTGAACTCTTGGCCTGATGGGAATTTCCTGAACAAACCAAAGCAATTCCCAACCTTGTGCATGTGAAAAGGAGACCACTGAGTTCTATGCCTCCTGGTAAAAGGGCCTTCATCTCTACTACCCAAGTTACCCAGGGTTGCTGCTTGCTGCAGGACAGGCCAGATGAGTTCTTCACAGTGAAGCACAACTCAGTTTCCTTCTCCCCCTAGGGGCCTTGTTTCCTCAATCTCCCAGTGCAGACCAGGGGCTTAAATCCCTCCCTCCCTCTAGAGCACTCAGCCTGTTTCCTTGCAGAACGGCAGCTGGGAACTCAGGAGACCTGGGCCCACCTGTTGGAACAGGCCCGGAGAGAGTGGGAGCAGCAGTATGCAGCCATTGTGCAGGTGAGCCCCACCTGCCAACGCTTGGCCCATCTCCACCCAAGGCCTATCTCCACCTGTGCATAGCTGCCTGTGCTGTTGTCAAAGCCTGGACTGTGGTGAGGGCCTCTCAGTGAATGTGTGAGAAATGATGGGTGACATCAGCAGAGCTGAGGCATGGAAAGGATCAAGGCCAAGGTCTTGGTGCACGTAGATGAAGATGAATGTCAAGGCTGTTGATGGTCCGAGTTTGTAGAGAACTGAGGGAGGGTATGGACTGACCTGAGCCACTGGCATTCACTGTCACTATCACATCATTAGGGATCATTATGTGAGCACAGACATCACCAGTATTACTATTCTAGGTGCTAGGGGTGGAACTTGAAGTCTTGCAAAATCGAGGCAAGTGCTCCATGTAGCCACAGCTCTTGAGCTGGGCTGTGAGTATCCTTCATGGGTGATAGAGACACCCTCCCTCTCTGCCTCCTCTTGCCAATCTGACTCCCAGCACGATCTCTTCGTAACCATGAGGCTCTTGGTAAATCTCAAAGTCTTGGATCAGACCAGAAACTCTTAGGAGAGAAAGTAAACCTACTTAGATTTTAGAAGGTTTGTGAAGCCCAGAGAAACTCCAGGTGGTGGAAGGAGAATAGGTGTGGTCTGTGGTGCCAGTAACTCAGATCAAGATAGAGGTCGAGATTCTAAAAAGTTAGCTTGGGTGCAGGCAGAGCCTATTAAATAGTGTCCTGAGGAGGGGTGGCTCTATGCAATTCTGGGGTCAAGTGGGATTCAGGGGACAGGAACTTTATATTCCACATGAACAGTAGCCACCAGAGGGACTTTGGTCCTTTTACTCTTAATCAGAAGGAACTTACTCTAGTTCTGTCCATCCTCTCCAGCACAATAGCACCTTCGATGAAGACCGAACTGCACTTGGGCAACCAGGGAGGGCGAATGCATCTTTGCCATCAGCAATCATCTATTAGCAAGTTAAAGGAGGCCCAGGGAAGGGCTACCCAGGTGGAGCAGGGAGCCTTGGGATGCCAGGGTCCTGAAGGAAATAGTGGGAGCAGAAGTGAAGGAGAGAGGAAGCCAAACAAATACAGTGAAGGACACACTAGGAGGCCACCGAGCCTTGGAACAGTCCTGCCCTGAGAGCTTCCCTTGCTCCTGTGGCCCCTGGGACAGGCCCAGATGTTGATAGCGTCCCTCCACCTTTCCAGGAGCAACAGATGATGAAGACCCTCCCTCACCTTCTCAATGTCAACGAGGATCTGCAGCTCACAGGGGTCCTCAAGCACTTCATTCACAATGGTACTTGGCCTTGCATCCACCTGCCTTGTAGCCCATCACCCCAAAGGCCAGCGCTCATTCCGTCTCGTTCCTTCTCCCTCCCTTCCTACCTCTCTCCTTCCTGCCTCCAGCCCTTCCTCTCTCCTCCATCTTTCTTCCTCCTCCTCCTCTTTCCCTCTCTCTTTCCTTCTCCTTCCTTCTTTCCTTTTCTCTTTCGGTTTTTAAAAATCGTAATACAATATATAGAACTTCACCCCTTTAACTGCTCTTGGGAATACAGTGCAGAAGCACTAAATATGTTCACATTCATAATCATCACCACATTCACTTCCAGAACTTTCAATCATCACCTCAAACTGAACGGACCCTTACACACTACTCCCCACTCCCCTCCCCCAGCTCTGGGGAGCCGCCATTCTCCTTTCTGCGTCTGCACTTCAGCACTCCGGGGCTTCACCGTGGGGATCATAGAGTATCTGTCTTCTGTGTATGGCTCCTTTCCCTGATCATAATGTCTTCAAAAATCATTCATGGCATAGCATATTTTGGAATTTCCTTCTTTGTTAATGTGAATGACATTCTATCATATACATATATACACTGCAGCCTATTTATCCATTACATGGCTATATCATCACATTTTTGGCTTCTAAGGAGGTGGCAGCTTTTGAACTGTCTCTCCAATCTGAAAGAATACTGAATAGGTTGAAACTGAGCCCCCAGAGTTGGGGTGACACATGCTCTCCCATCCCTGGTCACTGTGCTCATCTAAGACAGGTGTCCACGTAGGATGGTGGTGGGGAACAACCAGACCCACTCAAGAGCTGCAGGTGACACTGCATGGCCTGAAGGGCCAGTCACTACACAGAAACAGAACTTCAAAGAGCCTTTCCTGTCCCAGGCCTCAATGAGTCACCGAGGGTGAAGGGCCAGGCCTCATGTTTTTCTCTAGAGTGCCCATGAAGAAGGTGGAGCTTCCACCAAGTTAGGAATCCCAAGAAGAAAGGTAGAAAGTAAAACAATCATCCACAAGACAAGTTATGTCCAACTGCTATTACAATTGGCAGCTCCATTAGAAAACAATCTCTTCACATGAGCATTGGAGGGAGTCGTTCATGTGGAGTGCAGAAACGCCACTTTCAAGACATTAGGCATGCTACTTTACCAAGATCATTCTGAAAGATTTTGACGATGAATTGTCCTATCTTCAGGTTCACGTGACATCGGACAGGCTGCTTCAAATGCTGTCACTCTTCAAGGCCTGGGGTAAGTATCTCTGTCCAGCATTAGAGAATGAACACCTCTCAACCCAAAGATTTGTAGTGTTTTGTTGAGCACAGGCTGGTCTCAAACTCACAATCCCCTTGCTTAGCCTTTGAATGCTAGGATTACAGACTTGTGCCACCATGCTTGGCTGGGGAGATTCTTTAACGTAATGGTCTTGGACAGGACAGGCTGTAAGTCCTGCTGGAGGAGCAACAGCAAAAATGTTCTGAACCTCCCTCCCTCAGCAACCCCCTCCAAGAACACTAAACACTGTGTGGTATTCACCTCCTGTTTCCTTGACTCTACAATCTTGAGAGAAAAGGGATGTTAGTAGTTAGGTCCTATAGGACAGTGCTACACAAACAGAAATAAGATCCAGCAAGCAACAAGGGAAATTGAAAGACTAAACACATCATAGAAGATCTTTCATGATCTCACCGTATCCTCAGGTCTCAATGCTCAAAGCTTTCACTGAAACTTTTTTTTAATTTATTATATTTATGTGTATGGGTGTATTGCTTGCATGTGTGTAAGTGCAATGCCTGAGGAGGTCAGAAGAAGGCATCAGATCCCCTGGAACTGGAGCTACAGATGGTTTTTAACCACTATGTGGGTGCTGGGATCGAACCCGAGTCCTCTGCAAGAGCAGTCAGTGCTCTTAACTGCTGAGCCATCTCACCAGCTCCCACTGAAACATTTTTTAAAAATCTATCTATCTGGACAGCTGGGGCTACAGAGAGACCTTGTCTCAAAAAGACCAAAAAAAAAAAAATCTGTTTATCACCCATCGAAGTACTAACCAGGCCCGACCCTGCTTAGCTTCTGAGATCAGACGAGATTGGGCGCATTCAGGATGGTATGGCCATAGACTATCTATCTATCATCTATCTATCTATCTATCTATCTATCTATCTATCTATCTATCATCTATTTATCTATCTACCTATCATCTATCTATCATCTCTACCTATCCATCCATCCATCCATCCACCCACCCATCTATCCATCTAATCTATCTATCATCTATCTATCTCCCATCCAAGTACTAACCAGGCCCAATCCTGCTTAACTTCCAAGATCAGATAAGATTAGGCGTGTTCAGGATGGTATGGCCATAGACTGTCTATCTATCTATCTATCTATCTATCTATCTATCTATCTATCATCTTTGTCTGTTTTGGTTGGCACCATAGTTGTGTATATTTGTGTGGAGTCCAGCATAGTATTCAGAACATGTAATAGGTAATGATCAGGTCAGGGTCATTAGCATACCCAACATCTCCTGTTTACCATTCCTTTATGTTGAAAGCATTCAAAATCTTTTCTACTAAGGTTGTTTTTTTGTTTTGGTTTTTTTGAGATAAGGTCTCACTATGTAGCTCTGGCTGGCCTGGAACTCACTATGTAGACTAGGATAGCCTCAGACTCCTAGAGATCCACCTGCCTCTGCCATCTGAGTGCTGGGATTAAAGGCATGTGCCACCACAACTAGCAACTCAGTATATTGAAATATTTAATTAATGTCTTCAACCATCGTAATCCTCTAGTTATCTTATTAACTGCACACTCTTCTTATTAACCACCTCTCTCCATCCCTCCCTCACACCCTCCCTAGGCTCTGGTAAACACTCTGCTAGTCTTTGCTTCTTTGAGCTCAATGTTTTGGTCTCTGCCTGAGTGAAAGCATGTGGTACTTGCCTTCCTGTGTCTGATTTATTTCACATAACATAATGTCCTCCAGTTGCATTGATGTTGCTGCCAGTCACAGGAATCTGCTCCCTCTTTCCCTGGGGTATATGCACCATGTATTCTTTACTATCTGTTGATGGACATGGATGTTGGTTCCATACCTTGGCTACTGAAACATCTGTTTCCATTCCCCATTGGTGGCCTATGAGCTTGTAAGGACTTGTGATGGCCTCTGTGTCTGGTGGCTCCTGGCAGCTGTAGGCCCTCAGTTGGGATTTCTCCTATGACTAGAATAGTTTCTTTGCTGTCTCCCAGAACTCCCTGCAGTCTCCAGGGCCGAGCCCTACAGTCCCCAGTTACCTGTGAACCACAGCCAGAACTGAGGATGTGGGGTGGAGAATGTCCTCACGCATCACAGCTATGCATCTTATTACAAATTAGGAAGAGCAACCTAAACTGTTCACTAAAATCATAATCCACTGGATGACTGGGACAAACTGGTCACTAAAATCATAATCCACTGGATGACTGGGACAAACTGGTCACTAAAATCATAATCCACTGGATGACTGGGACAAACTCTTGTCTTCTTAGAATTTCAGATAAACATGCTTCCTTCACGAATGTGGATGGCAAAGTGACAGTTGCTCCATACAGCAAGTGCAAGGTTGTCGTTAATGGGGTGCCCATCACCACCAGCACAAAGCTGCAGCATTTGGTACATTCCCCTGTCCGGCCACAGAAGCGCCTAGTGCTACCCCTGAGCTTGTTATGAAATGTCTTCTGTCATAGTGAGAGGGGCTGGGCAGGGCTGAAACTTCCCACCTGTGCCAAGCCTAATGGTACCAGCCCAGCCACAGCTGCTGGGGTGACACTGTGTATCTTGGAATATCAATTCACTTCTCTGGACTCACCTATAAAACCAGGAGGGTGGACTCACACTCTAAGATTCCTTTTAGCCTTCACATTTATGACATTTGATGCTTAAGAGAGCCTGTCCTTCCGAGGACCAGCACCACCTGCTTGCAACATGAGTCCCTCTTAGTCCCGATTTACTCTCTTGGCCACCCTCCACTGAGTCTCTGCCACCACAGTGGCTCCTACCAGCTGCCCTGCAGCTTTCTCCCTTCCCAAGCTCCACACACCAAAGCCACATGACGGGCAGGCTGGGCTCAGCCACTCCTCCCCCAAGGGAGCCGCTCCAGCCTCACTGTCCACCAAGTACCTGCCCCATCACAAGGACTTCCTTTTAGCCCCTTCAGCAGCAGCCTGTCTACCTCACCCCAAAAGCCCCCCCCGCTTGAATTCCGCACTTATATCTTCCCACATCTCAGAGGACTTGTGAAACCCCAATCTGAGTCGGACCCTGGGGCACTCCGTAGAACCCCTGTGACCACGGTGATGCCACATCCTGGAAGGGGGGGCTGGGGCTGGGGCTGGGTGGGCCCAGGGGAAAGATAGTCCTCAGGGCTCTCCGGTAGGGGCCAGGGTACTGGAGCAGGCTGGCCCTCCCTCCCTGAGCCTCTCATCCCAGGACCGCATCATCTTGGGATCCAACAGCGCCTACCTCTACGTGGGGTTTCCTTCAGAGCGAGGCGGTGAGGACTTGAGCAAATTCGATTATGACTTTTTCCAGCTCGAGCTGGCAGCTGCTGAGGGAGTGAGTGTGGACATGCTTGGTAAGTAGTCCCAGGACCTGCCTTCTGGCACCTTCCATGTGCTAACCCAAAAGCAACAGCTTTCACTGTGTGTTCTCATTCCTGAAGAAAATTGTCTTTTATTTTGTCAGAGTACAGTGAGCAGGAAGTTGAAACATGATTCTGTGTGTGTGTGTGTGTGTGTGTGTGTGTGTGTGTGTGTGTGTTCCCGCATTCTAGAGAAGTGCTGTACCACTGAGCTACATTCTCAGTCACAAAATAGGATTTTCCTGGTAATACAGTGCATACTTGTCAAAGATTTGTTTAACTCATTAAACTTTCCCTTAGGAATGAGGATAAAGCTGAGATGGGATTGTTGGGTTAGATAAAGGCAGCTAATGCCTTCAGCTGATCCAGGGAACCCTACAGAACATGCAGCCCAACAGCTAGGCTTGGTTTGAGAGCACACTTGGGCTGGAGATGTGGTGAGGCATGAAGTCTTCAGGCCTTGATCCTGAAGAAATTGCAGCTCTAGGTTTCTAGGTCAAAGATATCACCCTCTCCCGCTGTTCACCCTCCCCCTGCAGTAGCTGAAACTCCTCACAGGTGAGGCTATTCAGAGGCTCTACTCTCTGCTTGCCTAGTTCCTCTCCTCAGATGATAGCCAGCCCACACCTCTTCCCCCTAGCACCAAGTCACTGTGCACAGGGTTGTCTTGACCCCACTGAGGTCTTTGTGATGTTCTGGATTCCCAGAGGAGGCACCCACTCTCTGTTTGCCTTAATAAACCCTTGGGTGGGGAGCAGAAGAATTAACTCATCATTTAATGCAACGTTTACTCAGCATTTAAGTAAAATAAATTGGTCTTTAATTCATCTCTTTGCCCTTTTGCTGATGTTTTCTGTTTATTTGTTTGTTTGTTTGTTTGTAGACAAGGTCTTACATTGCAGCCCAGGCTATCCTGGAACTCACTATATAGCCCAAGTTAGCCTTGAACTCATGGCAATCCTTCTGCCTCAGCCTCTCAAGTGATTACAAGTATGAGCCACCATGCCCAGCTCTATTTTGGTTTCTGAGATCTCACTAGGTTGCTGAGGCTAGTCTGAAACTGTATAGCCCAAGCTGGTATCGACTTGCTAACCTCCTGCCTCAGCCTGCTGAGCACTGGGAGTATAGGTATATATATATAATCACCACATCCATCTTCTACTGAAGGTCTTGCTCAAAATCCAAAACCTGGGGCTGGAGAGATGACTCACTTGTTGAGAACGCTTGCTGTACAACCATGAGGACATGGGTTTGAATCCCAGCACCCACATTACAAGCCAGACATGGTCTGACATGTGCCTGTAACCCTGGTACTGTGGGAGAACAGGGAGAGAAGGACCACTGGGGCTTGGTGGCCACCTGCCCAGGTTCAGGGAGAGACACCCTCAAATGAATAAAGTGAAGAACCGTAGGGGAGGACACCCTTCTCTCTCTCTCTCCTCTCTCTCTCTCTCTCCCTCCCTCCCTCCCTCCTCGATATTGTCTCTAAATCACGATCTTTTCATTTAGTTCTTCAGGGTGACTGAGTGCAGATGCCTTCTCAGCACAGAGATAGTGATGAAATGAAGTTAATTAACCTAGGGCCTTGGGTTGAAGGCCCTCAGAGCCCAGTGATGATGGTGGGTCCTCAACAAGCAGCCTGGTGGGCAGTTCTGGGGAGTCAGGCCTCAGGGCACTGTGGGACTCACAGGCAGGGAGTCTCTAAAGAGCTGACAGATCCTGACACGATGCAGTGCCCACCCAGGTCTGGGAAGAAACTGGGCCTCCCATAGTCTCCATGACCTTTCCGCCATGCCATCCATATATTACAGAAGAGCAAGTCGCTTGCTATGCCCACAGCATCTTCAGAATGAAGATGGTGCTCCTCCGGCCCAGTGGATTCGTTCTCCCTTTCTCCACACCTCCTACCTGGACAGTTCAGAGCCACCTTGGGTCAAGGGCCTTGAGATCAAGAACAGGAAGTAAGCATGAAGCTTCCTGTCTTAGAAAACTGGAGACTTACAGGCTGAGATTAGTAATTGCACAAATGAACAAGTGAGTGTGTAAGTTCATTCACAGCTTCAAAGTATCATAGAATAATATCCTTTCCATTCTTTACAAGGTCCTGTGAGCAGGGGAGATGGCCGAGCCAACCCCAGTGTCCTGGCTGTGTTCCAGGACTATATCAAACTCATGCCACTGGTTGCGGAAGCAAATCAAATGAGTGAAGAGCTGGAGAAGGTAACTTATTTGGAGCCTGAGAATGGAACAGTGCAGGTCCAGAAAAGACTGTGAGTCTGGGAAGTATCAGGATTTCCCACAAGGCTTCCAGGAGTTAGTGACAGAACCTAGACAAACATCCAGGCCTTCCCAGCCAGCCTGAGAACCGTTCCTACTTATCAGAGCCACCAACATCCCAAACCAAATAATCACCCACCTCTAGTTGCCACAGCATCTCCCCAGCACCTCAATGCCGGGAACCTAGTTCTGGCAATCCAAGAGCCCAGTCAGCAAGAGCTTCATGAGAGGTTTAATCTGTTTAGGAAGTACACGTGTTAGTTCCAGAACACCACTGAGAAATCCTGGCTTTCTGCCATTTCTCTTGGCAGGAGCTCCATGGAGCAAGAACCAGACTGTGTTCTTTCAGAAAGGCGGAGAGTGGGAAGACTGACAGAAACTGCAAGATGAATATGAACTAGAGATTTGTTTAGTGAGAAGTGTTTCTTTCACCAGGGGCTTAAAATGGAATTGAAGGTGAAGAATTTAGCATCGTCAGATTCCAGGGGCTATGACCTTCAAAAAGAGGTCATGGTGAAGGTGACCAAACAAAGGACTCACGAGGTAAGACCCCAGCAGTGCGGCAAGTGGGGAAGCTTCTGAGGGACATAGGTGATTTTTGCCAGCTGCCCAGCAGAGACCCAGGCAAGACGCCAGATGTGCTCCTAGCAGGGGCTGAGTTTTGGGAGAGCCCTCTTCCATGTTCCTTTTCCTCATTGCTCTCCCACAAGCACCAGCTCCTAGCATCTTTCCTAATGACACTGTTTTAGTGCCTTTTCCTGCTGCTCTGATAAATACCCCAGCAAAGGCAACTTAGGGAAAGGTTTGTTTTTTGCTCAGTTTGAGGGTACAGTCTATTGTGGAGGGGGGTCCTGGTGGCAAGAACTGAGGGCAGCTGGTTACATCGCATCAGCAGTCAGGAAGCAGAGTGAGATGATGTCCATGCTCAGCTAGCTTTTTGTGCAGTCTGGGACCAAAGCCCTTGGAATGATGCTGCCCATATTCAGGGTGGGTCTTCCCACTTCATTTATCCTAATCTAGATGATAATCCCTCACAGATGTGGCCAGAGACTTGTCTCCTGGGTGGCTCTAGATCTCGTCAAGTTAACAGTATTAATCATCACAGACAGCTACTGAAGATTCTCTGTTCAGATTTAATATGACTCAAAAACTTTAGTGCCATAAAGGAGCCTAAAAGTTTATCCAGACAGTAATGGTGCCCGTGTCTGTGTATGCATGAGAAAGACAGGGGAGGTAGAGGGGGGATTTGCCATTCTGAAGAATGAGACAATCCACATTTTCATAAGACCCAGAAAAGGCCATTTCACTAACTCCAAGCTATCAAGGTCTTAAAATTTTTTTTGTGTATGTGTCTGTATGATTGTATGCCATGTGTGTGCAGGTACCCACAGAGGCCAGAAGAGGGTATTGGACCCATAGAACTGGAGTTACAGGCAGCATGGCCACCTGATATGGGCTTAGTTCCTCTGTGAGAACATCAGGTGCTCTTAACCACTCTTAACCACCTCTCCAGCCCCCAGGACGATCTTTTTAAGAGACTTAAGACCTTGTTTCCTCTCCCTCTGCCCTCTAAAGAAGAAACTATTTCAGGCTTGTCTTGTAGTGGGTCTTGGGTATATGATACCTCCAGAGTAGCCCCCGGTCTGTGAACCCTGAATGCGCATCTTCAGTCTGTTTTGAGAGGCTGTGTCACTAATTCTCAGGTGGACTTTGGGTGACCTGTTCCCTCCCACCCATCAGTACAAGCCCCCGCTCAGCAGGGGGATCCTTTGTGTGATAGCTTTAGTTGTCAACTTGACATCCCTGGGTTGAAGGAGCCTCAATTGGGGAATTTCCTCCATTGGACTGAAATGTGGCCACGTGTGTGTGGGGGGGCATTTTCTTGATTGGAGTCATTTCCTGGCTTTTCTGCAGACTAACTGCCCTGTTTTTATCTATGACACTCACTAAATGCCCCAAGGCTGCTAGCCCAATACAGGTCTTGCTGGGCCAATTTGTCCTCTGGACACCAAAAAGTAAATCCATTTCCTTGCTTTTTGCAGCTTTTGGACAGCAACATGTCTTGGTTCACAGCCTCTCCACACTGTTGTCAACCATATAATATCTCTCTAGCCCTGTGGACATCACACATTTGTTTTCTCTGACCATTTCTTCTGCCTGCTTCTTCCCTATTTACAGCTTGTGGTTTCACTGGGCCCACCTGGATAATTCAAGATAATCTCACTTTAAGGTTGGCTGATAAACAAACATGATTTCTCCCAAAATCTTAATTCCCCTTTGCCATTAAAGTAATGTTCACAGGCTCCAGAAATTATATATATGTAAAATCTTGCCAAACCCCACACATTGATTTCTCCTGTGAGGGTGTTTTCTGTCACCATCTCTAAGCATCTCCTGGACTCAGATGACTCAAGTAATGCTAAAGCAATGCATTGAGAGTTGTGGTCTGGAAGGGCCTCACCAAAGCTGTTTGATGAGAGTGGTATGTGGTCTTCCTAAGGTTCCATTCATCAGGAGGAGCTGGAAGAAACCAGATGCTTCGTTCAAGCTGCAAACGAAACAACACACAGGTGACCTCCTTTTGCATTCTCAGGTCTGGGTCTGGTCAAAAGGAAATTCCTAATGGAGGAACTTTACCAGCGCTTTCTAGAGGGAGAAGACAGTCATGTAACTCAAGACGACGACCCCTTCTGGGATCCTGTGGAGGTTGTCCACTTGGGCTCAGCACATATCTGGCTGCAGTCACTGGCCTACTGCATGAAGCTCGAGGAACAGGTGGAGTTTCTGAACTGCGAAGGGCTGGAGGAGGCCATGCTGCACATCCACATCGTCCCCTGCTCCCCTGAAGGACGGTGGGTGTCTCTTCCACTTCCTGGTTCTGAGTTAGTCACACAGAAACTTCAGAACAAGCCTCAGATCTCCTAAGAGGGGAGGGTGTCAGCTTGGTACCTGACATGGGAGAAGTGAATGAGTTCATTCATGATTTGGCCTCATTATGAATCTGATTCTTGACAAATGCCCAGCAGCATTTTCGACACCTCAACACTGGCCTGGAGAAGCAAAGGAATGAGAGGGACACCCTGGAAACAAACATATAGTTAGGAACATTGACAAGTACCCAAAGCCCTGGTCGGCTCCATCAGCAGATCTTCAGGAGACAAGCCTGTTTTGTGGGACATGCCCATCCACAGCCCACTCCTGGCACCTAGCGAGTCTGGCATCCACCACACGGTGCTCTTTCCCATGTGGGAGGCCTGTCCTGTGGAGGAGGTCCCAGAGCCAGAAGCAGAAAGCCATTCCTCCTATCCCATCTCCATCCTTGGCAGAGGACTGACATTTCTTGGTTTGAGGTTAGTGTCAGGCATCTGGTCTCCCATGCTGCTCCTGAACCTCTGTGGGCACAGGCTTTCAGACTGCTGGTTCTGACCTAAGCTCTTATTTTTCACCTGCCCCTTCCTTCCTTTTTCTTTCTTTCTTTCTTTCTTTCTTTCTTTCTTTCTTTCTTTCTTTCTTTCTTTCTTTCTTTCTTTCTTTTTCTTTCTTCCTTCCTTCCTTCCTTCCTTCCTTCCTTCCTTCCTTCCTTCCCTCCCTCCCTCCCTCCCTTTCTTCCGGCAGGGGGCCTGGTTGGGAGCCATCTCCCCCAGAGCACCCAATGTGACCTCTTGCCTTACTAAAAAGGAAACCAGCTTGAGAAGGGAGTAGGATAACCTGAAAGTTCTGGGGCCAAAAGACCAAGCCAACCAAAAACTCGGTGCCTCGGTCAGGTCACTGGTAGGTCATTTGGCTACCTTGGCTAAGTCACATTGAACATGAGTAACATGGCATTCTGGTTTGTAAGTTTCAGACTTTATGAGGTTTGGCTGACGTGAGGGAGGTCCCCAGTTAGAAAGCTATCCAAACAGGTTTTTGAGTGTATAGGTCTGAGGTTGACCCTGGGCTATAAAAAACTCATCAAGACAAATAACAATTTGGCTGGCAGCATGTAAGCAACCAGCTGGCTTTCCTTCCTCCCCACTGAGACCAACCCCAATCTTCAATGTGAGCTCAGCACCACATGCATACACATTTCCTGTATAAAGCTGTTTGTACTCCTTTCCCTGAGGTGTGAACTCCTTGGGATGGTCTGCGTCTTTCCCTCGCATCAGTTGTCTCTTGAATGAATAGATTTTCCCACTAATAACGTCATCCATCCCTCCTTGAGTAGTACTGCCTTTCTCTTAAGGCTCTATTTCAATCCTGTGATATCCCAGTGCTAAATTGCCTGGACTCAGCCTAACTGCAGACTAATGTTCACCTCTTGTCTGTAGAGCACATGATGAGGAAGAAGTGGTTATTGACCCTTTGGAGCTACGGGGCAAGAGGATTGACTTCCAGATTCACATTGTCCAGTGCCTTGGTGTCAAATGGCTGAAGGAGGATGCAAGGCAAGGTGTTCAGATGGGGTAGGCTCTGCACCACAGGGTCGTTCAGATAGAATAGGGGTCTGCAAGGTGGGGTGTTCAGATGGGGTAGGGGTCTGCAAGGCGGGGTGTTCTGATGGGGTGGGAATCTGCAAGGCGGGGTGTTCAGATGGGGTGGGGGTCTGCACTACATACAGCTTGTGCACACCACCCGTGTGGCTCCTGCTGGGAGGCAGCCTTCCCTTTTACAGCTCAATTTATCATGGCATTCTCTGTTTGCCCAACTCCAAAATGGCTACTTTCTCCTGTTGATCAAATAGAGAAGACCAGCCAAAGGGCCTCCAGGTCACTGGGATGGGTACTGAACCTCTGACATGATTAAAGCAGTAGAGTCAGAAGTGTTAATTATCATAAACAATATCCAGGAAAACTGTTTTATCTAAATAAAATGTTTTTGTTAGAAACAAAAAAACTGACGGATGTTGTCAGTACACGCCTTTAATCCCAGGACTTGGGAGGCAGGGGCAGGCAGATCTCTGTGAGAGCAAGACCAGCCTGAGTACGTAGTGAGTTCCAGGCCAGCTGGGGCTCAAATAAAATGAGGGGGGGAAAAAAAGAGCCATATTATGATGGGGCAGATACACCTGGTAGGGCTAAATTCATTAGGTCCAAAGGATATTTATTGAAAGGTAAAACAGTGGAGAAAGGGTTACACTGAAGAATAAAAACTAGCACTTCACATGGAAAATTAGCAACATAGAGCAACGAAATAGAAAATTCATTAAAATTCTTCTTCCTTGTTAGACATTTATTATTACCTATATGGTAATGATGTTCTTGCTGAATAGCAGATGTTGGAGGCAGAGATCACAAGAACCAACTACAGGGTAACTTTTCATCTGGCTGGTACATTGGACTGCAATTCTTTGGCTCCTCTGATTCTTCATAAATGTGCCTCTTCTGGTTTTCCATTATACTTTATACTCTTGTCTCAGGTACAAAATTTACGATCTTCCAAAAACTTTGTATACTAAAGCTGTTTGGAAAAGTGTGAATCCCCAGATTGAAGAGACTGTCAGTTTGCAGCCTTAAGTGCATCTCAGGAGTTTCTTGATTATTTGCAGACAAATGCCCTCATTGTTGACTTGTGGGGCCTTCAAGGTACCTTACTTACTTATTCTTTTGTGTGGGATACTGTTTAATCAGATACAATGTAGGCTGCTTGGTGCTTCAGAAAAGGGAGAGGAGGGAAGCAGGCAGGGTTTGTGAAGAAATGGGCAAGAGATGCCACGCATGGTGGCACATGCCTTTAGTCCCAGCACTCAGGAGGCAGAGGCAGGCAGATCTCAGTGAGTTTAAGGCCAGCCCTATCTATAGTGAGTTCCAGGACAGCTGAGACTACAGGGAGACCCTGTCTCAAAAAGACCAAAAAAAAAAAAAAAAAAAAAAAGAAAGAAAGAAAAAGAAATGGGCAAGAGTCGCGTTCTGAGTCTAGAAGCTGAGTACATGGTTCACCTCACTTAACTAAGGTCTGAGATTTTTTTCCTTGCTGGTCTCTCCCACACTGCAGAAGGATGTGCTGAGTTGGGCTTCTCTCAGTTGGACTTCCTGCTCACAGGTGAAGGCCACATCATGGTAGACACCAAGAAATTTCCCAGTGTGAAGGATAGGAGCCAGGTGCATACACATGACAATAACATGGGGCCACAGGTGAGTAGACAATGTCAGTGACAGCCACTTGAGGATCATCAATGTTCCTTCCCTCCAATGAATGCATTCTCTGTGCCTTTCTGGGTACCCTGAAGGACATAACCCTCTCCCCACCTCCGCATCCCATCCTGGTTTACACAGGTAGCATGAACCACTAGTTTCAAAGGCTACGCAGGTAATCTGATAAAGGCTGAGCTCACATTTCCTTTGCAGACCACATCAAACCAGGTGTCAGAACTTTATCAGAAGCTGTTCAAGTTGGAGCAGGAAACAGAGCTACTCAGAGATGTTAACAGAGCCCTGAGAGAGGAAAACATGTCTCTCAAGGAATCACTGGAGAAAACCAGTTCTGCTCAACAGGGTAAGACACTATGCCTGTTGTGTTGTTTAGTTCATCCCCAACTCCCATGTTTGAGATGTACTATTTGTCTAAAACACAAATGTCTTAATGAGTTCATTAATATCTTACTATAAACAAAAACTACAGAACATTTTTACGAGATTTTATTTGGGTGAGTTCAAAGAAACATGCTGATGCAGATACAGAAAAATGCCCCAAACTAGTAAGTACAGAAATGTGTGAACAGTTGACAATAGTCCCTTTCCTTTCACCTTAGCCCAGAAGCCTTCTGATAATCCAAAGAAAACTGGGATGACAGCGCAACTGCCATCAGCCAGACAGATTAGCCAAATGTGCACTCAACAAGCCAGCTGCGACAGAGAGCTGGCCAGAGCCCTGAAGGTGTTCTACCAAGGCATGAACGCAGCCAGGGGACAGCTCCTCAGACTGAGACAGTACAGACCTCCTGTGAGTAACCAGCCTCCCTGAAGCACCAGGAACATATTCCATTAAACTTATTGCCCTTACAGTGATGGGATATGTGCTTAAGCAGATGAACAGGTTGAAGTCTTAAAAGTGTGGGCCCTGGGTTTGCGACGGCAGACATAGTAAAGCACTTGCCTTTCCCTTGAACCTCTACCCACCTTTGCTCTGGCCGTTCTATTTTAGTGCACATCTGGCTTGGTGCAGGAGCTGTGGCCACTGCAGGATATTCAGTCACTTTACAAAAAGTCTGATTATTATGAAAGCAAATATAATTTACCACATTAAGAGATTACAGGAGAGGGCCAGTGAGATGGCTCAGTGGGTAAAGGCAGTTGCCATCAAACTTGACAACCTGAGTTCAATTCTCAAGACCGACCTGAGTTCAATTCTCAGGACCCACATAGCAGAAAGTGAGAATCAACTCTAGCAAACTGCCCTCTGACATCTACACACCATACCATGGTATATGTGTGCCTTATACAAACACACAAATAATAAAGAATAACAAACTTTTTAAAAGATTATAGGAGAAAGACTATCTGATTACTTCAATGGATACAGAAAGCACATGTGGAAAAAACTGACATCCTGTGGAGATAATTCTTGGCAGAATTCTTGGTCTTTTTGAGACAGGGTCTCCCTGTAGCCCCAGCTGGCCTCAAACTCACTATGTAGACCAGGCTGGCCTTGAACTCACAGAGTCCCACTGAATCAGAATCCTTGGGTGTGGGCCCAGGAACTTGTGCTTCAACAAATTATTCAAACAATTCCTTTGTTTTGTTTTTTGTTTTGAGGCAGGGTCTCCTTGTAGCCCCAGCTGGCCTGGAACTGACTAGGCTGCTGGCCTCAATCTCACAGTTCCACCTGCCTCCCAAGTGCTAGGATTAAAGGCTTTCGACACCATACCCAGCTAAATAATTCCATCTTTTAAAAAAATTTTTAATTATTTTTATTTTATGTGTACACGTACATGTATTGTCTGCATGTATGTGAGTGCACCCTTGTCGTGCAATGCCTCTGAGGTCAGAAGAGGGCTTCGGATTCCCCTGGAACTGGAATTAAGGATGGTTCATAGCCACCATATGGGTGCTGGGAATTGAACTCGAGTCCTCTGCAGGAGCAGTCGGTGCTCTTAACCGCTGAGCCATCTCTCCAGCCCCAAATAATTCCATCTTAAAGTTTGAGAATTCAGTATATTGAGGAATCAGACACATGTAAATGATCTCTCCTTTGCTTTTGGAATGGCACCTGCTACAAACCATTCTTTGAGAAAATACTCAGCTCATTTTGTTCTGTGGTTCAGATGAAGAGTTGGATGAGAAGGATTACCTTTGCAGATAGGCACTGATCTTAATACCATCTTCCATAAAAGCCTCCAATTGGACAGGTCTCTGAGGTATAGTCACAGACAGAACATGGGTAAAGTATGGCCTCATTTACTCTGTGAACACTATGCTTCCGTGAAAATAAACTACAGCCACATGCAGCAGAGATGGTGATACTCTCAAGTCACAAAAGACAACATCCAGCATGCCTCAAATGTTTAAAGATAGGCAGAGCATGTTTAGGTATGCATTAGGTGGCAAAACTGTGCAGACCAGGTTGGAAGAGGAAGAACATGTGAGAGGATGGGCCTGCTTGAAAAGATGGATTCACTGTAACTGGACCTGGAGGAATATTTTGGTGCCTCTTCTGTATGAATACCTCACAATAAAAATAGTGGCTGGACAAAAGGCATCATAGAGTTCAGAATAAACACTGGGGGCTGGGGACAGCTGCCAGTGGAGAACCTGCAGCACAAGCTTGAGGACCTGAGAACCTATGTGAAAAAGAAAAAGCTACATGTGGTGGTGTGTGCTTGTAATCCCAGTGCAGGAGAGAGGGAGACAGGAGGCTCTCGGGGGCTCACTGGCCAAGTCAGGGTAGCCTATTCAGTGAGGTACAGGCCAATGAGAGAGCCTGTCTCAAAAAACAAGGTGAACGGCTCCTGACAAACTGCCTGTGGTTAGCATTGGGCTTTCACAAGCACACATCTGTAACCACCCCCCAAATGTGTATTCACATGAACCTGCCCCCAAACACACAAGAATAAGCAAAACTTAACAGAATCAATTTGTAGTATAGGTTGAATATCTCTTATCGAAAATGTCTGGGATCAGAAGTGTTTCAGATTTCAGGGTTTTTTGATTTTCATATAGTTGCCTGAACTTTAGTAGTTAAACATCCCTCATCCAAAAATCCAAAATGCTCTAAAATTGAAAACTTCCTGACTGGTGATCTGTAACTATCAAGTATTAATATTCAGGATACAATAACAATTACCTTTAAACTAGGAAAAAATAACATGGAAAACTTAATGGGCCAAGGATCTAACTAATTCCACTAATAATCTAAAACCCAGTGCTGCTGTCCCACTGTCCGCTCTACCCCATCCTCTGCTGTTTTTTACTGGCCCTCTGGATCACAGCCAGTCCTGAATTCCTTCTCAAAGGTACTTACCTTCACAGGGTGGGGTTACATCAGCACATCCCTATCGGTGGGAGAACCCTCACACCCGTAAGTTCTTGTGCAAACCTCAAAACATCCACTGTGTTGAAATGACATATAGCATTCCAATCTGAAATTTTGGATTATCTCATCAGTTTTTGTTAGTTGACTAACAAAAGGCCGTTTGAATACAGCCTTTCTGAACTCAGGTTGCTCCTAGGTTACTGACTGCTAATAACATTCAAATGCAGTTTTCCAGCCAGAATAGAAAATTTATATACACAAAGTACTTTTTTCACTCTAATGATACAGAATCTACACCATCATATTTTTCTTTCACTTATTTTTCAGGAAGATGATGAAATGCTTAGACCATTTATACATCAACAGTCACAAATGTTAAAGGATGTGGGGGAACTGCTTGACTCCAGCTTGTGGAAACTGAAGAATGATGTTGCTCTTATAGTGAGAAAGAAGAAAGAATACATATTGCATACCAAACAGTGAGGACACGAGCTGTAGGAAACAAATGGCTGAAAAGGCCAGTGTGTGTTTAGACAACATGGCACTGATCTGAGTATCCAGGCATGGGCCAAGAGGGCTAACTCTGGACGGCAATGAGTCAGAACAGAATGGCTGACACCAGGGACACCTGGTATCACCAGGACCCCAAAAATAATGTTATATAACTCTTTTTGGCAGGATGCTACTTTTGTGCGATTCCATATAAATATGAGCTGGAGGTCAGAGGCCAGAGCCCTCCACCTTCGCCAGCCTGTTTGCCTGTAGATCTGTGTGCCTATCTCTATGCAGCCTGTGCCTTCCTGTGTGCGGCCCCCATGTGCCAGAGTGTGCCTGGGTGCCTGCCAGCAGCTGATTGCCTGGTGGCATTTGTGCTTGTGAATAAAGTGTTTTCTCTGAGGCTCTTCTCCATCTCTTTAACCTCCTGGCCTCCTGTGACCCTTGTTCTTTCTTGGCATTGGAGCTTGGACCTCTCACACAAGTGAAAACTGCAAATATTTGTGCTTGGAGTCAATGAGCTCAGTTAGCTGCTTCTACCATTTTAAAGTAAAACTTCAGTTGCTTTTTTTCCTTGAGAAAAGTCTTCTATGTAGTCCAGACTAGACTAAATTTACAGTCTTAACTCTGACATTGGGATTACAGACTTGTGCCACCCCTGGACTGCACCTTAACTGATTTCAAAAAATGTATATTTTATTATTTTTATTTTATGTGTACGAGTGTATTGTATGTAAGTGTACCTGTGTCGTGCAATGCCTTTGGCAGTCAGAAAAGGGTGTCAGATACCCTGGGACTGGAGTTATGGTCAGCTGTTAGCCACCATGTGGGTACTGGGAATTGAACCCAAGTCCTCTGGAAGAGCAGCCAGTGTTCTTAACCACTGAGCAACCTCTCCAGGCCTTAACCGAATTTTTTTTTTTTTGTCTTTTTGAGGCAGGGTCTCTCTGTAGCCCCAGCTGTCCTGGAACTCACTATGTAGACCAGGCTGGCCTCGAACTCACAAAGATCTGCCTACCTCTGCCTTCCAAGTAAAGGCATGCGCCACCATGCCTGGCTCCCTTAAACTGAATTTTAAACCATATAAAAATTATGCTGGGTTCATGGTGCTCACCCTTAGTCCAACACTTGGGAGGTAGAGGTAGGTAGATCTCTGTGAGTTCTAGGCCAACCTGGTCCACATAACAGAGTTCCAGGCCTCAAAAAATAAAAACAACAAAACCAAGAAAACAACAAAATAAAATCTTGTAAAAATTAATCCATATGCAGGATGAAGGTGAGATGAGGTTATCTGAAGTGATGGTCAGTATTCAGAGCTCTGGGATTCAATGGCCTGGTTCAATCCTGGTTAAATCTATCACTTGTACACTGTATGACTTGGGGGAACCAACTTGCCTCTCTTTATCAGTTGTATGGAATGGTAAAGTATTACAGCAAATGGTTAAGGACTACAAAGCTAAGAATGCCTGGCAGACAAGAGTGGTCAGGTAGTCACCACTAATAATTTTCTGAGAAACAGTTCCAAAATTTTTTTAACACTTTATTATTTGTGTGTGTGTTGGACAGCTTTAGTTGTCAACTTGACACACCTGGGTTGAGGGAGCCTCAGTTGGGGAATTGCTTCCATTGGACTGGCCTGTGGCCATGTCTGTGGGGCATTGTCTTGATTGTTGAGTGATGTGTTTGGAACTTTGGGCTAGAAAAGCCACTGAGTGCTTAGAGTTTAGTGAGCTGTTGCTTTGGAGCTTGGAACGATTTTGCTGAAAGAGGTATAGACCATGGAGGCCTGGCTCGTGAAGCTTCAAAGGGAAGTGGAGACTATTCAGGGCTGTTTCTGTGATATTTTGAATTGAGAATCTGTGGGTTCTAGTTGGCTAGGGCTGAAGAATCAGCTGTGATTAAGAGACCAGCACCACTGAAGTGAAATCTTTGCTTTACTCGAACAACTGATGCTGGTGAGCTGGGGCTGAAAAATCAGCATCACTGTGGCAAAATCTTCTGGGAAGCATTTCTTCAGAGTCAGCAGTGGAATTCTTTCTTCTAGGCATGACACAGCTGTTGCAACATGATCTCACAGAAGCTGTGTCTGCCCACACTGGCCTGTACAAGACTGGGCCTGTGAGCTGGAGAGATGCTCAGCAGCCAAGAGCACTTGCTGCTCTTCTAAAGGACGAGGGTTCTGTTCCCAGCACTCACATGGCAGTTCACGACTACCCACAATTCCAGTTCCAGGGGATCCAATGCCTTCTTCCTGCCTCAGCAGGCACCAGGCACATATGTCATGTACTTCCATACATGCAGGCAAAACACTCATACACATAAAAAAAATAAATAAAGACTGGACCTGTCAACAGTCAACCATGGATCACGGAAGGGCTCACCTTGCTCTAGCTCTCCCTGAATTACTGACTGATGGAGGGTAAGAAGGTGGGGGTGGAGAGAGCAATCAGAATGCATTACATACATGCATGACATTGTCAACAAATTTAATGAATTTTCTTAAAAATCAGGAAATTGTCATTCTGTGGCAACATGGATAAAGTTCGAGGACATTTTGTTAAGTGAAATACGCCAGCTACAGGGAGAAATACTGTATAATTTCATATCTAAAAAAACCCAAAAGGAATGGACAGATGCAAACAGTGGAAAGTGGAATGGTGTTACTGGGGCTTGAGGCATGAGCTAAGGGGGTCCTGAGTCAACGGTGAAAGTTAAGAAGCAGTTTGGGTATTCTTTCTTGTGGCTAACTGCAGTTAATAGTGATGTATATTTTAAAATAGCTAAAAGAGAGGATTTTGAATGTTCGTACCACAGAGAAATAATTTGAGATGGATATGCTATTTTGATTTGTTCATTTCATAATGCATATATGTATTGAAATACTATTTAAAAAATTTTTTAAGATTTGTGGTTTATTTATTTTTGGTCTTTTTGAGACAGGGTCTCCCTGTAGCCCTAGCTGTCCTGGAACTCACTATGTAGACCAGGCTGGTCTCAAACTCACAAAGATCTGCCTGCCTCTGCCTCTCAAGTGCTGGGATTAAAGGTGTGCGTACCACGCCTGGCTTATATTTTAAATCTTTAAGTGGGTATGTGTGTCTAAATGTATGTGTGTATATCACATGTGTGCAAGGTTTCAGGAGGCCAGAAGACAGCACTGGATTTCCTGGAGCTCGAGTTTCAGGTGGCTATAAGGCACCCGATGTGGGTGCTGGGAACTGAATCCAGGTCCTCTGCAGGAGCAGTAAGTGCTACTAACTGCTGAGCCATCTCCAGCGCTTGAAATACCATTTTAATTCCATAAATATATAGCACTATTTGCCAACTGAAGATGTAAAAATTTTAGATAAAAGATCTTCCCTTTTCAACGTGGATACTCTTTCTTTCATACGGAGCAGAACGTGAGTAATATCTCTATACATACTGTGCTTAAATATGTTACAAGTAAAAAGCTGCAAAGGAGTGGCAGGCTTCTTTACTTAATGAACAACATGGGTACTATGGATATATCTGGCTTTTTATTTTGGTGGGTTTTTTTTTTCTTTCTTTCTTTTCTTTTGATATAGGGTCAGTAGCCCAGATTTGTCTTCAACTTTCTGTACAGCTAAGGATGACTTTGAACTTCTGACCCTCCTGCCTCCACCTCCTGAGTGCTAGAATCACAGGTGCGCACCACCACACCCAGTTTACGCAGTGCTGGAGATTGGTGAGGACCTCAAGCATGCTAGGCACACTCTCTACCAACTGAACTACATTCCCAGCCTTACAGTGTGTGTCTGTCATGATTATTAAAGAGGAAATGCTCTTTGTTTTATTTAGAGCTTCAATGCCAAACCTGGTTGAAATACAAATAAATTTGAAAATACTTCTGCTTATACAGTTAAATTCACAAAATTACAAACTGTTTGCTTAACACTAATCACAGGTATAAAATCAGGGAAAGACAAGCTCAATTATTGGCAGTAAATGAGCAATGTCTATTTACAAAAATAAATATGCAAGTCCAAACCAAAAGAATTATTCAATTGATAACCCTTTATTATTCAACTTAGGTAAACAATCCAAAATCAGTCCATGTAGATGGATAAGAAATCTACTAAATTTTGTGCTAATTTTTTTTTAAAGTACAATGTCACTTAGCAAATGCTCACACACTATGTAGAGAAACTTACTAGAGGGTGAGATTCCACACCACCACAGCAAGGAAGGCAGAAGTTACTGCATTAGCCTAATGCTGGCCAAACCCCCTTACTAAGGAATGCTGTTTGCAACACAGACAGGGACCCCCTCCTCCACCATCTGACCTTCGAGCTCATCAAAATTTACCAGGAACACGTCAATGAAAAAGTAAGGAGAATATCAGTTTTCTCTCACAAGCAATAAAATTGTAAACACAGCTGAGATATGAAGTTCAGGATAAACTAGTAGACTTCAATTTCCTCCTTTTAATGTATTTTAGATTTCACAATCTTTTCCACATATAGTCAGATAGGCTTTAGAAGAATTTCACGTATCAAATACAGAAGCTGTTAATTCATGCATTTTATGATTCAGTTAATTCTTCAAATGTTTAGACTTCAGAGCTGCTGATGACACTAAACTCGATACCATGTTGGTTGAGTCTGTCAATCAACTTTGTTCTGGAGAAAGCTGCTCCAGGTGTGAAGACACCACCCCTGTAAAACAGTGATACGAGAACACAGTGCACAAGGCTCCTCTCCAGCCCTCTCTTCTGTAGGACTAACAAGCGAATCATGGCACAGCTCCTGGAAAACCAGCTCTTCACTCTAGCATGACTACTTCTGCCTCATTTCCAAATCAGCTAAATAAACACACAACTTTGATTGGAAAGAAAGTAGTCCACAGCCAATCCTGGTTCAGTTCCCAGTGAGCCTGTTCCCATGCTACATCTGTACTCAAGGGACCCAATGAGTATCTTGCACCTGAATCACTGGTAGGTGGCCTTCGGAATCAGGTCTAAACAAAGACCTGCATAGAATAAATTCAGGTAGTCACTCATTACTAAACAGCACTTAAAGCTGATGAAAAAAAAAGTTTCTTTAAATATAATGGCTAATATTTGTAAAAAAAAAAAAAAAGGCCAAGGAATGAATACTTAAAAAATTAAGTTTGGGCCGGGCATGGTGGTGCACGCCTGTAGTCCCAGCACTTGGGAGGCAGAGGTAGGCGGATCTCTGTGAGTTCAAGGCCAGCCTGGTCTACGTAGTCAGTTCCAGGATAGCTGGGGCTACAGGGAGACCCTGCTTCAAAAAGACAAAAAAAAAAAAAAATTAAGTTTAGGGCTGGAGAGATGGCTCAGCAGTTAAGAACACCGACTGTTATTGCAGAAGACCCAGGTTCGATCCCAGCACCCACATGGCAGCTAACAACTGTCCATAACTCCAGTCCCAGGGGATCTGACAACCTCTTCTGACCTCTGCCGGCATTGCACAACACGGGTGCACTTACCTGCATGCAGGCAATACATGCATACACATAAAATAAAAATAATAAATAAAAAAATTTAATATTGCTTTAGGCTATGTGTGGTTTGCTTTTCAGTCACAGGCCTCTGCTTATTTGTGAGGTTGGCCTAATTTTAGGGCACCTGCTAAATGTTCAGTAAGACAGCATACTTGATACCCACCTGATCGGCATCCCATGACTCAGTTCCCACTTTGTCAGTCAGGGCTCCCCTACCAGCTAGGCGTCACTCAGCACTGGTTAGAGGCCCCTGATAACTGCTAAATAAACAACAGGGCACTTTTCTGGATGTCTGACTCTAAACTGGAGCTATTTATACAGAACTGAAGCCAACTTACATGGCTCCCATTTATGTTCACCTCCAGTTATTCCTAAAGGCTGTAAGAAACTGTCCTCCGCACTATATTAACCTACAACTTTGGACCAAAGGAACATAAATATTTGTACGTAGACCCAAAACTGAAAATCAACTCAAAATTGGCCAAAACACAACACAGTTGAAAAAGATATCTACTTAGAAAAAAGTCAAACATACCCCTTAGGAAGGTGAGAAGCATCATTTAGAAGAGTCATAGCAGCCTGAACCATGGCTATGGAGGTAGCCACGTAGCCAGCTTCTGTGGAAAAGGGTGGACAAGAAAAACAGCATTCACAAAGTGAACAGCAGCCCAAAATCAATGGTGGAGCTCATTTCTAGCATTAAGTACATACAATTTATTTCAGTAGATACTCTCTTGTCACTTAGTACCAAAAATAACTTGAATATCCTTTTTCCAAAATGCTTGGGACTTCTGTGCTTTATTTAGGTTTTATTTTGTTTTTTGATAATTTAGAGTATTTGCATATATATATATATATATAATAAGACTAACTGGAGATGGGATCAAAGGTCAATCACAAAATCATTCATGTTTCAAATATACCTTATAAATACAGCCTGGCGGTAATCTTAAATATTTTTCTCACACTTGTAATGTGACATCAACCGATTCCAGCAGGTCAGGTACAGAACCTGCCACTTGTGATACTGGTACCACAAATGTTCTGATTTTGGAGAATTTTAAATTTTAGATTTTTAGATTATGAATACTGAACCTATATTTATTATTAGGAACTATATGTACTAAGTGCTTTAAATCTACTAAACTCATTTAATTTTCAAAACAGTTACATGTAATACTTTTTTTTTTTTTTAATCTTCTAAGACAGGGTCTCCCTGTATCTCTGGCTGGCCTGGAAATCACTATGTAGACGAGGCTGGGCTTGAACTCAGAGATCGGCCTGCCTCTGCCTTCCAAGGACTGGGATAAAGGCGTGCACCAGCACACCTGGCTACGTGTAACACTATTTCATCTCCACAGATAAGGGCACTGAGCTATGGTTACTCTGCCTTGTCTGATCTTACAAAGTCAGGCAGTAGCTGAGCCAGAGTCACACCCAGGCAGGGTGCTCCAGTGCCTATACTCTTACCAGGGCACTGCTTCTTAAGAGTCAGTGAGACCAAGGACACTCAGCTTGCTGTTTCTGTTAATACTCTAAATTGATCTCCATTTAAAAACATTCATTTATTATTATTTTTCAATATTTTATTTTTATTTTGTGTATGAGTATATTGCCTGCATGTATGTGAGAGCAGCATGTCATGCAATGCCACGGAGGTCAGAAGAGGGCTTCAGATTCCCCTGGAACTGGAGTTAAAGACGGTTTGTAGCCGCTATGTGGGTGCTGGGAATTGAATAGAGGTCCCTTGCAAGAGCATTTATTTTTATGTGTATGAGTGTACTGCCTGCACCTTTAAGTGCACCTGTGTCATGCAATGCCCAGTGGGGTCAGAAGAGGGTGTCAGATCCCCTAAAACTGGAGTTTCAGATGGTTGTTAGTTGTCATATGGGTGCTGGGAACCGAACTGCAGGAGCAGTCAATGCTCTTAACTGCGTGCCATCCCTCCAGCCCCAATCTAGTTAAATCTTAAGGAAAAACACTAAGCTCAGTAACTTAAAAAGAAGTCTATAGTCAGGCATGGTGGCACACGCCTTTATCCCAGGCAGAGGCAGGTGAACTCTGAGTTCAAGGCCAGCATGGTCTACAGAGTGAGTTCCAAGCTAGCTGGAACTACAGGGAGACCCTGTCTCAAAAAAAAAAAAAAAAAAAAAAAAAAGTCTGTAAGCAAGAGGGATGTCAGCATTTACAAAACACAGTCAAATTATCTTAAGAAGTCAGGTGGTAACTTGAAAAGGTGAGATACAAAAACTGCCACTGGGCTTGATTAGCCCTGACCCCACCCATCAGAGACAATGGTAATTACTCTTAGCTCTAATTCATTTGAAGGCTTCTCTCTGCATAATTTTCTAAAAGTTCTTCAGTTTTTTATTATTACTTTTGTTTGGAAACAGATCTTTTTTAAAAAAAATTATTTTTATTTTATGTGTATGAGTATTATGCCTACATGTGTGTAAGTGCACCCATGTCATGCAATGCCTGCAGAGGTCAGAAGGTGTTGGATTCCCCTGGAACTGGAGTTACAGACAATTGTTAGCTGCCATGTGGGTGCTGGGAATCGAACCCAGGTCCATCTCTCCAGCCCCAGCAACAGATCCTTTTAACAACCTATCAAAAGTTGTGCTCTTTTATAAAATGTACGTTTCTATATGCTTCATAACATCAGTGTATGCAGAGACTCCAAAGAAACTTGACTACAGATTTGACTCAAATAACACTATTTAAGTATGAGATTAAAGTAGATAAATTTCAGACAGATGTTTTTCTTAGTAATAATAATTAAAATGTGCCATTTTATTTTTTATATGTATGAGTGTTATGCTTGTGTGTATGTAAGTGCACCCATGTTATGCAGTACCCATGGAGGACAGAAGAGGGTGCTGGATTCCTCGAACTGGAGTTACAGTTGTTAGCCACCATGTGGGTGCTGGAATTCAAACCTGGGTCCTCTGCAAGAGCACTCAGTGTTCTTAACCATTGAGCCATCTCTCCAGCCCCCTAAAATTTGCCATTCTTGAATTTGATTTACTGAATGGTAATGCTACAACACAACTGGCTAATAATAATAATTTCAACCCTTTGATTGACAGAATAATTTTAAAATATTTAATTCATACTAATGTAGTTCTAAAACAAAAGTTAAAATATTGTAATATGGGGAGTCCCTTGGGCCACCCTAGCCAACAACTCAAAAGAAGGTATCTCCTATCTGGCATTGTTGCTTGTTATATAGCCTTTAGCTATATATACAGACTCTTAAAAAATTATATTGGCCCCTTTAATCTTTGGTTATACTTTCCTTTTGGGTGTTTGAGGCCATACAGTTGGCCCAGATAAACCAATTTATTTTTACTCTTAAGGCTGTTTGAAGATCTGTTCCTCAAGGATCACATGGGCTTGGGAGGAGCCCCTGGCTCCTTTCATTTGCCAGTTCCATCTATGTGAAGTCAAAGGTCCTGCTCGACCATGGTCGGCTTTGCTTGGAAGCATAGAGGAAACGATTCCTCTGTGTTGACCCTCCTCTTTGTAGAC